CTTACCAATAAGTTCTTTTTTTATTTTTTGTTTTGTTTTTTTTGTTTTGTTTTTGTTTTGTTTTGTTTTTTTGAGACAGAGTCTCACTCTGTCACCTGGTCTAAAACGCTGTGGCATCAGCCCAGCTCACAGTAACCTCAAACTCCTGGGCTCAAGCGATCCTCTTGTCTCAGCCTCCCAGGTAACTGGGACTACAGGCCCACACCACCATGTCCCACTAATTTTTTCTGTTTTTAGTAGAGACGGGGTCTCGCTCTTGCTCAGGCTGGCCTCAAACTTCTGACCACAAGCAATCCTCCCACCTAGGCCTCCCAGAGTGCTAGGATTACAGGAGTGAGCCACCGTGCCTGGCCACCAATAAGTTCGCATTTGTCATCATTCAATAGCTTCTTCACTTTTATATAAATAGCTCTCGGCTCTCTACATAGTTATAATCAAAAACTATTTCATTTTTCCAGATGTAGTAAATATTATAATTATTATGACAATTATAACTAAATAAAAACAGTTTTTTTCATTCTTTATTACATAGCATTATTGCAGAATTTTCCTTTCTGCCCATATTTTTAAATATAATTATTTGTAAATCTTTGCCTGTAGACCAAAGCAACTAAAACTACAAATTAAGAATGTATCTTCATAATATTCCTGAAGCCAAAGGGCATTTTTGAGTTAGTTTTTGTGATGAACAAAGGAATGTACATGTTTACATACACAAATAGACACAATACACTCAGTTATGGCAGAGGCCAAAAGTGCTGAGAAATTGAAGTGATGGCTTCCATATGGTACAGAGATATTATTAATAATGAATGTCTTCACGACACCAACACAAACAGTTGGAAAGTAATAAAAAGTCAATGAAGGTACTTTGTATGCATTGTTGAGCAACTCATGCTTTGTCTACTCTTTAAAAGGATGGATGTTTTCCATTTTTTTGTTGTAGGTTTCTGATTTTTTCATTATTGTATTTAAATGACACTGCTTGAACGTATCAAAGTGTTTTGTTACAGTCTAAACGGAGCATCCAGGCAAACTGTACTTTCTTCTCACTCCCTGATATACACCTCTCCAGTCTGAGAACAGCTGGACATCTTTTTATCTAACACAGCAATACAGAATATTCTAACTTAAAAATACAGAAATTGTACCAGGATCCTAGTTATCCATTCAAAAGGTACATATTTATGCACATTTACATACATAGTAATTATACTTCAATAGTATAACCTCTACTACAAATATTTTTAACTAAAAAAAAACACATTTTTTCATATTTCAGCTTTAATAAAATTCACATTTCAAATTAATACAAGTAAAGACAACAACAAATAAATGTATTTAAATATTATAAATAAGAATTATAAAATTTACCTTCATATATGACTACTTGACAAACATGTTACTAAAAAGCATATACAAAACAATCATCATTTCTCACTAGCATTCTCAGGTATAACTTACATAATTAAACGTTTAGTACAGAATGTTAACGATATAAGAAAATAATATATCTAGCAAAAATAGGGTAGCATTTTTAATATTCAATTTGCAATATGTGATTTAAACTCTGTTTTAAAAAAATTATAGATTACTATATACACAAAGATAAATCAAAAGACTCCATTCTATGATAGGACACAGCTAATCAGTTATTTCTGGGAAGTCTCCCATTTTACTCATCATACCTATAAAATTACAAATTTCATCTCTTTTTACATTTAGTATAATTCCAGGTACTTTTTTCTTCAAATTAGATTAATACATTCTTAAGAAATGCCTGTGGGGGGAAAGAAGAAACACATTATTTATGACCTGGTTTTTAGCATACTTTAAAATGCATACAGTTTTAACAGTTACATTTTATTTTAGTTTTTTGCTTAAAGAATCTGTGGACTCTTAATTTACAGTCTAATCCTAAGAATGCAGACTATTGTGTATGGAAAAAGAGGGTGGCTGATCCGTACTTTTAAAGATTTTAAATGATGATTTTCCCCCTTAAAGTTTTACGACATCTAGACACACTCCAAAAAATGAACTTGACATCACCTAATAATTCATAAAATATCCCTACAATTTATCGCAATATTGTGATTGTAATGTCTTGTTAAATAAACAATTAGAAACAGACACTGTCACAGATAACTCATACAGGAAATCACTAACTTTCTAAACTCTCTGATTTTAAAGAGTCATATTGATTAGCTTTGTCTTCTATGGACCCAGTCCCAGAAGAATGTGTACACTGTTAAGTATATGTACATTATTTTAAATTATGACACAGTATTTGTTTGGGGAGAACTTTTCTAGTGTTGTGTTGTTTTTGAACTTTATGTAAATTTATTCATTTATATAGAATATGTTAAAAACAAAGAAAGAGATAAATATGACTTGATTCAAGTCATTTTAATAGTGAAATGAATTTTCTTGATTTATTCATGTTTCACATTATTCAAAAACTTTGAGACAAGTTGAGAATAATTGATTCAAGTATCTTGCAACAGAAATAATCTAGTCCATTTTCTTTATCAAAAAAAGAAAATTTTTAAATTTAGCAACTGTAGATATGCAGAATTAACAGTTCTAATTATTATCATGAATTTGTAATAATAGCTTTTAAAATAAGAACAAAAACAGTAACAGCAATAGGTCAGGATTGTCTCAGGAACTGTCACAACAAATTTGTGAGATGGTTTAAGTAAACCCCCATGCAGTTATTTGGGATAGATTGAATTCTACTGGCCAGTTCAAAATATTTATGGGTACTTCTAGACTACAGGTACCCCATGACTGTCATTCCCACCTTCCTAACCTGAGGAACTATTTTCCTTGGAGGGACTTGTCCATGGTACTGAAAAGCCGGCCCCCCAAAACATTGACTTTGTACTACAGTGGGAAAGAACTACTGATTAGAAAAATATTTGCAAAGAAATCATGTCTTTCAATATGTTGTATAGATTCTACCTTTGTAAATAAATGTTACAATTCACATTAAATTTACTTAGGATTGTACAAATACGTTATTGCCCTAGGGCTCCTAGGGGAATTTAGCCAGATTGAAAATTCTGATCATTTCACTCTTATAAAGTAATAGGCTAGAGCAGATGATGATTACATGTTTATTCCATATTTTTATTCTTTGCTTTTTCTTCTATTTTTCCAGTACTTTCTCTCTGCTCTTACCTACATTGTGTAAAGCAAAGTATTAAGACCAACTTTCACTTTTACTATATCATTTGGCCAGTTTAAAAAAAGACCTGTAAATACTTTTGTTCATCTAATGTCTATCTGCATAATATTTCTGCACAATGATAAAATAACACCAAATGTTGAAAGATTTTTTAAAAAATCACTCAGGGCTGGTATGGTTGCCAAAAAAAGCTATTTATCTTACTTAATTCAATCACTGTTGAGGACATTTTGAATTAATTCAATAAAACAGTCTGTGTGTTTAGATCAAGTTTTAACACTTAGTGAAAAACCCACAGATTAAATTCACTAAGTATTGCTAAGATTAGTTTCCTGGCTTCTTACATTGTTCACAATTTTCTTAAGTAAGTTAGACTATAGACAGAGTGAAGAGACAACCTGTTGAATGGGACAAATATTTGCCAACTATTCATCTTATAAGGAATTAATATCTAGAATATACAAGGAACTCAAGCAACTCAACAGCAAAAAAAAAAATCTGATTTAAAAGTGGGCAAAGGATATGAATAGACATTTCTTTCTTTTTTTTTTTTTTTACTTTTTTTTTTTTCTTATTTCAGGATATTATGGGGCTACAGATGTTTAGGTTATGTATGTTGCCCTTCCCCCCCTCCCCCCCAAGTCCGAGTGTCAAGTGCATCCATCCCCTCCTCGCCCCTCCCCCCTCCCCCTGCCCAACATCCAATAGATGTTATTCTTATATGTGCACTTATGTGTTGATCAGTTACTAGCAATTTGATGGTGAGTACATGTGGTGCTTGTTTTTTCTGAATAGACATTTCTTGATAGAAGATATACAAATGGCCAACAGATATGTCCAAAAAATGCTCAACATCACTAATCATCAGGGAAATGCAAATCATAACTACAATGAGATATCACCTCATCCCAGTGATAATGGCTATTACCAAAAAGACAAAAATAAAAAATGCTGGTAAGGATGCAGAGAAAAGGGTTCCCTTGGGGAACACTCACACATTGTTGGTGGGAATGTAAATTAGTATAGCCACTTTGAATAACAGTATCGAGGTTCCTCAAAAAACTAAAAACAGAACTACCATATGACCCCAAAATCCCACTACTGGGTATTTATCCAAAGAGAGGAAATCAGTATATCAAAGGGATACCTGCAGTCCCATGTTTATTACAGCACTATTCACAAAAGCCAAGATATAGAACAACCTAAATGTTCATCAGCAGGTGAATGGATAAAGAAAATGTGGTGTGTGTATACATATACAATGTGATACAATTCAGTCATAGAAAAGAATGAAATTCTGTCATTCAAGGCAACACGGATGAGTCTGGAAAACATTATGTTAAGTGAAATAAGTTAAGCACAGAAAGATAACTACCACATATCATCATCCGTAAGTAGGAGCTTAAAAAATTTGAGTTCATGGAAGTAGGCAGTAGAATTTCGGGTATTAGAAGCTGGGAAGGGAAGGAGGGAGGAAAGGATGGGGAAAAGTTGGTTAACAGATACAAATTACAGCTAGATAGGAGAAATAAGTTATGGTAGGGTGAGTTCAACACTGTAGGGTGAATATGGTTAACTATAATTTATTATATATTTTCATAAAGCTCAAAGAGAGGATTTTTAATATTTACAACACAAAGAAATGATAAATGTTTAAGCTACATAAGTATCGAAAAGTCATGCCGTACCCCATAAATATGTACAATTATTCTACGTCAACTAAAAAGAAAAATGAAAAATGTAAAAAAAAATTAAACTAAACTATTAAGTAGGATAAGAAAAATAAGTACTCACAGGATAGGTTTTCTAGCTAGGTCTGTGAGCACAGCGGACTCACCGATAATCTTGTTAGCAATCTAGCACACCTTTTGTAATCTAGGAAAAACATTTAAAGGTAAATTACGTATACGGTGCCTATAAATGTGAAAGGAATCATGTTAATTACTGTAACTAATATATATAATGATAGCTACATTTTAATAAGCACCTAACATATCAAATGCTTAACATGGTTTTTACCAATCAATTCTAATAATGCAATCAGGAAGGGGCTATTATAATATTCACTTCAGAGATGAGAAAAGAGTCTCAAAATTTTAATTATCTCATAACTAGTAAACAGTTTGATCCCAAAACTTGCCCTTTCTCCACCATGCTGTGCTATGGTTAGTCGTTTTGCCTTGAATCCAATGTGACTACTTTTCCCTAGTCATTAAATACAAGTTGTTTAAAAAAGTATAACAAATCGGACTCAACATTCTAAATAAAATTAAATATTCCTCAAGATGAGCAATCTAGTTAAAAGGAAAGAAAATTCTTAGAATTGATTTTCTTTAAAAGGAAAGTTGGAGCTTGGAAAGGAATTTAAAAACAACCAATTGAGTTACCACACATAATCATAATTTGAGCACTTTAAATGATAGCACTTAAATATTATATTCTGAATTATTATTAACTCCAGTAACTTAAGTATCCAAAAGAATTCACTAGAGCAACCTTTAAAATACATGCCATCATTACTCAGAAACATCCAGCACCCATTGTATAAATGATGTGATACAAAAGAATATTTACTTTAACATAACTTAGGAGGAAATTTTGACTTGCACTTCATAGTCCTCTTATTTTTTTTCATTTATATGAGAGAGCACTTTATTTATGCTAAGGAATTTGAATAATAATAAAAAGTTTAAATCCTGACAAACATTTTGGTCTTTAAAGAAATCTGGCTATTTTCACATTTGGATATTTTCCCAACTAGAAAGTGCGTTTGCTCCTTAGAGTCTCAACAACATGCACAAACCTTAGGTGCTGTCAGTGTTATAAATAACATCTCATACAATGTTTAGTCTATTACTTCCCACCTGCAGACAACTGAAGTTTAAAATTACATGCATTTATTGGCGAATAAATTTTTTTTATAAAACTGCAAAGTTACTTACAAGCTGGTGTTGAGCAATCCCTGGTATTGTAATAGAGTCGATGGAAGTGTTTGCTACATTCTGCTGGAAATGCGACTGGCCCTAGTGGGCAGGAAAAGAATGCTTGTTATAAACACAGGCGAGCTTTCCGCATAGATTTCCTAGCACTTCGTGGACGGAGATGATGCGGCTGTGGTTTACACCCTTCCGCGCCCTTAGAAGAGCTTGCCCAAGAGCTCTTCCTCCACCGCGGTGTGGGAGGCAGTGAGCTGCGGTCTGTGAAAAATCATCTAAATTCATTCCGCATTCTCAACATCTCACACAATGGAATCTCCGCCGTCAGTAGAACTCTCTAGAATAGTTAGGGGGAAAAAGCTCTAGACAGAAAAAAAAGTCTGTCGAGAGCAAAGTGGATGTGAAGAATAACAATACCCTTCGTTTCTACTTTTTGTTTCCTAGCTTTTTATTTAATAGGAATTAATGTCTATGTTCGAAGACATTCCATCTTCTGATGACAGTGATTTACGTCGTGTCGGTGTCAAGAGGTATTGTAGAGTGTGCGGGGCCTGAGGTTTCCTTTTCTCCCTCCGTAAACCCGGGCCCGTCCACGCTTCCGCCCCTTCCTTCCGAGTCTGCGTCTCAGCCAAGCGCCGCCTGGGGGACGCCCGCGCCTCACCCGGGCTCTCCGCGCCGTCCTCGCCCTCGGCCGCCATTTCGAAGCCGATAAACGAATGTGGCCCTTGGGTTTAATCACGTGGGAAAAGCACGTGGGGAAACCACAGCTTTCCACCCGCGGGTCTGAGACGCGACAGATCGAAGGGTAGCGGGGTGACTAGGGACAGAGGGACAACGGCGATAGGAAATGGGGGGCTGTTGGAAGCGGTGCGGAGATTTGCCGGGCCCTGGGGCAGAGGATGACGTGCAGATCATTCACAGACTTGACGCGAAGAGCCGAAGAGTGTCGCAAGAGGACATGTCACCCGCGCTGCGGCCGTGGCATTTCAAAGTCCGTCTCTTCGCTGTTCAGGAACCTGCTGCTCCCGCGAGCAGCCCGGACGCCTCGGCACGCCGTGCGGGTTCCGCCCCTCCGGGCTGCTGGCCGACCGCGGCGTGGCCACCGGACCCCCGGTCCCGCGGGGACGCGGCGCTGGGGCGGCCGGAGGCTGGGAGCCCGCTCTGCTCCCGGCGCGTGACCGACAGAAGCGCGGACGGAGAACGGCAGGCGGCGCTGGCCTGCGGCCGTCAGCGGCTGGCACGGACGCCGGGGAGACGTTGCTTGCTCCGTCTGCCCGAAGCTGGACAAAATCAAACTAACAAGGAGGGCTCGGTGCTGCGGAAAGCGTGCCAGCTGCTCGTGAACGCCATTCTCCTTCATCAGAAGGGACTGACATTAGTGAAGCTCTGCGGAAAATCCAGGACGTGTCAACGAATCCTGTTATGAAGATGGTTGGCTGATCGAGATGACACTGAGTAACCCTTCAGAACTAGATGAACGGACGAGTGAAGGAGCATCTGAGAAATACGTAAAATCTATTGAGGAGTGAAAATGGAACCCCTAAGTAAACCAGTGTGAAATAACTTAAAAAAAAAAAAGATGTCCACAGTATGACTCCTTCCTACCTTTCCAGCCATGTATGTGCCCAGTGGCCACACACAGCCCTACCTAAACCCACCACCGTCCCTACACACCACCCACTGTCCTTCCCCAAACCACGCCACGTGCCTTTATGCCTTGCTCAGTGGGCTTCTGACCTGAATGCCTTGCTCCTCATGGGGAAGCCCGTACTTATCCCTTAAAGCCCAGCTTCAATTCGTGTTACTACAAGCCTGTCCTGACAGTTCTTGGCTGCATTATTCACTTCCCGTGCATTCCTAAAACTTTGTTTATGCTTCTATTACTTATCAAGATCTGGACTGGGTGCAGTGGTTCACATCTGTAATCCTAGCACTTTGGGAGGCCAAGGCAGGAGGATTCATTGAGCCCAGGAGTTCAAGATCAGCCTGGGCAACATAGCAAGATCTTGTTTCTACAAAAAATTTAAAAATTAGTCAGGTATGGTGGCATAAGCCTGTAGTTCCCGCTACTCAGGAGACTGAGGCAGGAGGATCACTTGAGCCCAGTAGTGGGAGGCTGCAGTGAGCTAGGATGACACCACTGTACTCCAGCCTAGGCAACAGAGTGAGACCCTCTTAAAAAAAAATCGGGTTTACATTAGAATTAATACAAGTTAATAGCATTTGTCCAGCTCCCCAACCAGACTGAGAGCCTCCTACAGACATTGTCATTGTATCCTCAGTGCCTAACATAGTGATCTACACACAAATCTTTTTATTTAATGGAATCACCGATAAATTTTATACTTGCCTGTGAAGTGCTTTATGAATTTGTCTTTGTCTTTTAAGTTCAAATCTCTTGGGAATATTTCTGAAAAGAAAAAGAACTTCAGAATTTCTGGAATGCATTTCCATCATTAACAACATCCTTGTTATGCACTTAATAAAGCACTAAACGCATGAATCCAGGGCAGTTTATGCAGCTGATCCCAGATCTGTGTCTCCAGCTCTGACCAGTTCCTGGGGCTCTGGAACTCCAGCGGAGCTAACTTCTTGCTCTGCTGCTCTCTCAAGGCAACTTACAGGCCTTCCGGAAGTGCACGGATGGAGTGGACGTCTGATTTGCCCTCTGCCTGGACCTATTTCTCTTCCATGTCCTCAGTCTCAGTGAATGGCATCCATCACTCTATGTTCCTTGCTCAGGCCCCAAATCAAGAAGTTATGCTTGACTTCCCCTTTCCCTCACCACTACATCCAGCCTCCAGAAATTATCCAAACGCACGCACTTCTTTCTCCATCCATTAACACAAGGCTGGTCCAAGCCATCGCACTTTTGTGACCACCTCAGCAGCAGCCTTCTAACCCTTCTTCTCCTCCCTATAATCCTTCTTCTCTGCATTAGCCAGAGCAGGCAAATTGCAATGTACTTCAGCTCATGATACGCTCCCACTTAAAAGGCTTTGTGCTTAAAATAAAATAAAATTTAAAAATCGAACTGCATCTCAGACTTTACCTTGTACTCACTAAAAATACATCATCCAGAAAAAGCAATTTATAAAAACAATCAGGAGCGTATGCAACTCTTTTAAAGAGAGAGAAAACTTAAACTTTAATAAAATACCTGGGCAGCAATATTTGTTAGCAGTTACACATTTAAACTTACAATGTTTTTATTACGAAACGACTCATGTGTACATCAAACATAATGTGAATATAACGAGTGAGTGAACATTCGTCTCCCCACTGGTGAGTCTGGGCCCCCGTAGCCCTGTGAGAGCTCAGGGCGCACTCATGCGGGGGCCGCAGGGGTGCGGCGAGGTGGAAGCTCCCCTCCCATTTGACAATGAATAGCTGCATTTTACAATTAAAACTAATCCTGGGAAACAAAAGAGCAGCAAATACGAAAGTATTTCCTCATATAAATCTCTGGTGTTCTCGTCAATAATAGTCCAACTGAACATAGGTCTTTCCCCATCTCTTCCCAGGAACAAAACGTAGCAAATTGGCTTCTGTGGCACTGATTCTGTGTGGCCTTGGGGCCGGTAGCTACAACGACGCTTTCTGAAAGATGAGCCAGCTGAGTGCAGTGGCAGTACCTACCACGGCGAAAGCGCATTCAAAGACTGTATAAATAACTCTATTTCTGAAACCACTTAGACTATAATTCTACTCTGTAGCCCCTGGGACAATGATAACATTCAGGTTTGTAGAGAATTACATATTTTAAGAAAATTGTCCCCTCTTCTCCACCCTGGTAACACGTTTTGTAGCTTTTATCAAAGCAGTTGTCACATCCTGATTAGCATGATAGTGCACTGTGCGCGTCCTGGTGTCCTTGAGAAAAGGGGCGCTGTCTTGTTCACCTGCTATCACCGCAGCGTGAGCAACAGTGCTTCGCTGACAGGGGACCCCCGGCACATGTTCAAGGAATGGAAAGCTGAGAGGGTTCTTAACTTTTAAACAGAAACAGTCAATGTCTCATTTGCATTCAGTGTAGGCCACCAAGACAACCACAATTTTAACACACTTGAGTTTTAATTTCAAGGTACAGCCATATGATGGGAATATAGGAATATATAACAGATTGATTTAACCGAAACAGAGAAGTGATGTCCAAGATGACAACCAACTAATGAGCCAGAGATAACTAGGCAGGAAGAGATGGAACAGGGAAGGGCTGCAGTGTGGTAAAGTATTTGAGGAATATCCAAGTGGCTGAAAGAGAGAGACAGGCTATAGCTGTTCATAAACTTCGTACTTAGTTTTACAGGTGCTGAAAAGTCAAAGAGTTTTAGGCAAGGGAATGGCATAGCTGATCTTCATTTTTTTGTCTTTTTTTTCTTTTTTTTTTTTGCGACAAGGTCTTGCTATGTCACTCAGTCTGGAATGCAATGGCCCGATCACAGCTCACTGCAGCCTCAAACTCCTGGGCTTACACAATCCTCCCACCTTAGCCATTCAAGTAGTTGGGGCTACAGACTCATATCACCATGCCTAGCTAATTTGTTTTTTTGTTTGGGGAGATGAGTGGCATGATCACAGCTCACTGCAGCCTCAAATTCCTGGGCTCAAGAGAGCCTCCTGCCTCAGCCTCCCGAGTAGCTGGGACTACAGGCACACTCCACCATACCCGGCTAATTTTTAAATTTTTATACAGATGGGGTCTCGTTATGTTGCCCAGACTTGTCTCAGAACTCCTGGCCTCAAGCAATCCTCCTGCCTCAACCTCCCAGAGTGAGCCACTGTGCCCAGCCTTATGATAGTTTATGATCCTCACAATATTAAATGAACAACTGGTAAGAGAACTACTCCAAACAACAAAATTAATTAATTGATCTCTGATGGAAAATGGTCTAAGAAAGTAATGTTTGTAATGCTAGAAATGTGAACCACATACATAATTTTAAATATTTTAGTAGGCACATTAAAAAAGTAAAAGGAAGGGTGAATTAATTTAATAATTTACTTTATCTAACCCAATGTATCCAAATTACTACCATTTCAACATGTATTCAATATTTTAAAATTCTAATGAGATATCTTTACATTTTTCATACTAAGCTCTCAAAATGCGGGCTGTATTTTACGCTCTCAGCACTCCTCAGTTTGGCCCGGACACATTTCAACTGCTCGGGAGCCACACGTAGCTGTGGCCGCCGTGCTGGGCAGCACAGTCCACGACGTGCACTTCATCCCTGTGACACACAATGACAGCGCACAGACAATCACGCATTTGGAGGGATTAAAAACAAAGGGGTCTTTATGTAATCCATGATCATTATCCCGGAACAACTTGAATAAACTGGTATCTCAGTCATCCAATTTATAAAACTTTCTAGTTTTTATTTAACCAAAACAGTTGCTATCTGCCACCCTCATCAACTTTAAATTTACAATGTATTTTAAAAGAATAAATTTGCATATATGTGTGTGTATATATGTATATATGTTGGTGTGCTTGTCTCTCGTTCCTATATTCTTGTTAAAAAATGAGTAGAGATCATGCGAAACAATAAAAAACCATAATAGTACAATTAAAAACTAAAATAATAGAAAATGTTTATTGTTTTCTTCTATCTGCATATAACTTTACTATTTTACCATAAAGATAATTTGTTCTGCTATGATTGACTCTTGAAAAGCTGTGTTGATTGACCCTCAGTCTTTGCAGGTACTGTGGACATTATTTTATGTTTTAATCTGTTATCATATTAAGTGCTTAAAATGCTTGCTGCATAGTTCTTTGAGTTATTGTTTATTTTAGTTAAACAGATGACACTATTAATCTCTTTTTCAATATATAAAAACAGTTCTATTTTCAAAAATAAGAGCAATTACCTTTATTACCTCACTGCTGAGAGAATTGCTGGTGGAAAATTTAAGTATTTAGAGAAAAATGAAAATGTATTAAGTATATGGTAGAAAAAGATGTCGACTTTTAAACATATTGAAGCAATACTTTTAAAATACAAAATTAAAAGTATTTAAAATTAAACTGGCATAAAATGTGTATCTTTTTTCCTTACGTAGTTATATTGCATCTATACCAGTAAATAGTTGTAAATGTATAAATATTTATAAAAATATATTTTATATCATGCTTCTATTAGAGATGAAGATATTTAAACAGAGGGATGTATGTGTATAACTTTTTATGAGGCCTAATGTTATTAATATTTAGGCTGCAAATTACACACAAGATAAAAAAGTAAATTCAAACTGACTGCTTATTATCTTCCAAATTTTTGCTATTTAAAATACGTTCCACAGACCAGCAGCATGGAGCTTGTTAGAAATGCAGACCAGGCCGACGCCCGTAGAGTCTGACTTTTTTTTCAGTTGGAACACAGTACACTGGGCATATGCCCGTTTGTATACATATTGTCTGGGACTGCTTTTGAGCTACAGAGACAGAGGTGAGTGTTGTAAGTACTTTCTCACACTTTGGATACAGAGTAAGCACAGATAGGTTCTGCATTGAGAAAAGGCACTATATTGTGTATTCATTTCCTAGAACTGCCATAACAAAGTTCCACAAATTGGATGGCTTTCACCTACAGAAACTTACTGCCTCACAACAAGGAGGCTAGAAGTCTAAAGTCAAGGTGAGGGCAGGGCCCTGCTCTCTCTGCAGGCTCTGAAGAAGGATGCCTCCTTGCGTTTTCCAGTTTCTCGTGGTTGCTGGCAATCCTCGGAGTTCTCTGGCTTGTACGTGCATCACTCCAACCTCTGCCTTCGCCATCCCGTAGAGTTCTGTGTCCAGGTGTCTTCGCATGACCGTCATCTCATTAAGGACACCAGCCATACTGAATTAAGGGCCCACCCACTCTGCTCCAGTATAACCCCATTTTAACTAATTGCATCTGCAATGACTGTATTTCCTAATAAGGTCACATTCTGAGACACTGGAAGACTAAAAACTTAACATATTTTGGGGGAACACAACTCAATTCTTAACATATGGAAATCTGAGTTTATTAAACAAATTGAAATTGATTATTTGCATTATAAAAGTAATTTATTTTCACAATAATTTGTTCAAAATTATTTTTAAACGGCTTAACCAAGATATCAAAAGCATGACATTTACAAAATTTCAATGGGTGCACAACTTTAACATAAATAAATATATTCTGTAATATGAGGTTTCATTGCTATTCCCTGTAAAAGAAATCGGCTAGTCAATTTGGCCAATACAAGTCGCAGAGACCTACCTACAAAGAATATTCTGACTAAAAAACTTCTCAAAATAGAAAATATTTTTAAAACACCACTCACTATAAGTTATTTGTAATAGAATACTTAAAATTGCTTTAGTACTATTATTTAGATTTTTTCTGAGATTTTAAATAGCTTTTTGAAACAATGAAT